GGGGGGGGGGGGAAAGCGGATTTTTTTGGTTCTTAAATCGGAGAAAATCCGAACAAATCCAAAAAATCTCAAAAAACTCCAAAATCTAAAGTAGTCTTCAACAATATACTCTGATCATATTTTCAAGTGCGTCGAGCATAGGTAACCTGTTTTAAAGGCTGCTACACATAGGAAAAAGGGCGAATTCACAAGATTTCACATCCTTATAAACACAATGGGAATCCTTGAAACCCAAGCAGCACGATGAGAATCCCAGAAAAACGATGCATCCTATAGGAAACCCATAAGTTCTAATGACGAACCCTATAGAAGTGTCTTAAGTTCTCAATGCCTATCCTATGAGAGTATTCATAAGTCATGATCGCCTATCCTATAGAATATCCACAGGCCCTTAAGGACTATCCTATGACGGATACCTATATGTCTTCATGACCTATCCTATGGGGATACAATAAGTCCTCAAGGGTTATCCTATGCGGGTACTCATAAATCTTCAACGCATATCTTATAGGCGTACTCATAAGTCATTATCACCTATCCTATGGGATATTCATAAGTCCCGAAGGGCTATCTTATGGAGGTAACCATACGTCCTCATTGCCTATCCTATGGACGTACTTATAAGTCGTCAAAGCTATCCTATAGGGTACCTATACGTAAATTTGTGACAGCTCCGGTTCAGTTCGCGGGGCTGATGCTGTCTACCAGCTCTTCAACTGAGCTCTTACCAGCTGTGAAACTGCAGCAGTGATGCACCTAAGGTTCAATCCATGTTTGATTAAGGAGGAATTCAAAGTTTAGCCCAATTTGTCAAACGCAATGACCAGGAAATAATACTAATTGTGAAGTAAAACCACTTCATAACGTTCCTCAATCACGTCGAGCTGAAAAGAAGAGTCCACTTTTACTACTTACCGGAAAAATCAAATACACGATTGTTACGTGACCCTTAAACCAGTATTTCATACTACATTAAAATCCAGTTAGTGGATGATGGACGAATGGCGTCCGTATAACAGTTTCGCGCTCTCTGCCTAAAAACTCTTGAAAACCTACGACGACTAATGCTAGATATTTCTTGAACAGTTAGTGGTACCCAGCAGTCTTCCACGGAAGAACTCTTGAAGAAGAAGAAGAACCATAACTACTGTAAGACAGTGCTTGAAAAGTTAACTACACCAAACATCAATTGGCCTTGTGGACTAATGGGTACCACTATAGGATAGACCATGAAGACTTACGGATACCACTATAGGATAAGGCATGAGGACTGATGGGTACTAGCATAGGATGGGGGATGAGAACTTATGGGTATCACTATAGGATGAGGCATGAGGACTTATGGGTTCTTCTATAGGATAGACCATGAGGACTGATGGATACCACCACAGGATAGACCATACAAACTTATTCGTACCACTATAGGATAGGCCATGGGGATTTATGGGTACCCCATACGATGGGCGATCAGAAATTATTAGTACCCCATAGGATAGGCCATTCGGACTGATAGGTACTTCCATACGATAGCCCTTGAGGACCTATTGATTCGGTCGTATGGTAGACCTTCAGAGGCTTCAAGTACATCTCCCTGGGTAGCTGTAGGAAGCTATGAGATAGCTTATATGAAAAGAATTGGTGATGGTAGGTTGAAATTAATCTAATATCAAACAAAAAAACTGAGGAAAACCTTAAAAACTCAAAACAACCCGAAAAA